CAACTTTTTTCGAAAAAGTAAAACCTTCTTGAACATCCACACCCTAAGCCCTTTAATTTGGTACCTCACTTCTGAAAATCGAACGGACGGTGCGGATCTGAGGGCATTGATTAGTAAAAAACTTGAGTTTAATTATTTAAAAGGTGGCAACTCCTTTCGAAAAAATAAAACCAGTTTGCACATCAACAGGCCAAGCGCTTTAATTTTACATCCCATTTCTGAAAATCGAACGAACCGTGCAGATCTTTTATGCTTCGCGTATTATATATATAGATATACTAGATAGCACGGCTAGTGAGGTTATGCGGCCGTTGGATGTTTGACAAGTTTTATCTGGTTGTCAGTAGGCCAACAACTATGTAAGTGCAGCTCTGTCAGTGTGGTAAAGTAGCTGATATAGACATCATTAAAAGATATGAAATCCCAACCTCTGCTATATTGCCCATAGAATAAATAGCGGATATGGTTTTTCTAGGAGCACCTGTTGATCGAAATTTGATGTAATATACAATACTGTAGTTTTGAGTTATATTTAGGTATCACGTTTTGCATTGGACACCGCTTTGACTTACTGGCTTCCTTTCTATTATTCACTTAAGAAATTCCAAAATATGCCGGTTTGTTTTCTCAGTCCCAAGTTGCCATTGAAATAAAATGTGTTACTCTTTAAATGCAGTAGTCTGTCTGTTCACAATGTCTGCATAACCGAAGCATAGCTGCAAACTATTTGTCGATCAAACTTCAATCAATATTTACCTGTTCTTATTTCTTGTTAAGCAACGCTTTTTGGTTCTGCTTCGTTTATGTTTTTCTTTTTAACAAAATTTGCTGTTAAATTGTGTCACTATTTTTATACATATATGTATGTATATAACAAAGTTTAAAATTTTCAGCTAAGTAATTTTCAAATGGAATTGCTAAATAAAGTAGCTGACAAAGTTTTGTAAAAAAATCGTTTTACAACTTTGTTTGCCATTTGTGATAAGATAGCAGCAGACAAACGAAAAGAATTAAACCAGACGAGGTGACATAGTTGATGAATGTCATTTGAAATACAACTAAAAGTAGTGGAGCGTAAACTTTGAAAAAAAATAAAATAAAATAATGAAATAGGTACTAAAACAACAGCTGGCTGATCATAGAGATTTAGTGACTAACAGAAAATAAGCAAATATTATTTGGTGCTCACATTTTCGTTAAGAATTTGACTGTGCCTTAATGAGAAGTCTCGCAGGTTTGCCGTTGCCTGCCGCGGACCGAAGGCTATTAGAAAGATATTTTTTGTTATGTATAGTGGTAGAACGTACCTCTAAACATTCGATTGTGACGGCCGCTAGAACGATAACAAAACTTTACTGAAGATTTTAATAAAAGGAATTGAGATAAAATAATAGAAAGGCTCTTTCTCTGGAACTGAATGTCAAAGCACGAGACACTCAAAAAATTGCGACTCGAAAATTATTTCACAAAATATTTGGCATTTGAAAAAAATTTTGAAGCATTGGAGGATTGCAAGGCTTATTCTTATTTAAGAAATGTTCGCAAAGTAATGAATTAGCCAAAGAGCTAATCACTAGAAAACTCAATATGAATTTGTGGTTTTTAAAAAATGTACATCATTTTACGTCAGTTAAGAACTCGACATACTATATTTTTGGTCAATTAAAAACTGGTCATGAATTTAAGGTTTTTGTAAAAATCGACATAATTTTTGGTCAATTAAAAACTGGACATAAACTTTTGTTGGTTTGAAAGAAGGGTCGTAAATGTTTATTTTTTAATTGATAACATTTTTGGTCAGTTAAAAACTGGACATAAATTTGTGATAATTTAAAAACTGGACATAAATTTTGACAATTTAAAAACTAAGCATAAAATTATGGTTTCCTAAAAATGGACACAATTTTTGGTAAATTAAAAACCGGGCATAAAGTTTTGTTAATTTCAAAACTGGGCATAAATGTATTAAAAAATTAACTAAACTTAAATTTATGGCTTTCTAGAAATGAACATCATTTTGGGTCAGTTAAAAACTGGACATACATACATATGTTTTTGGTATGAATTTATGGTTTTTAAAAAATGGACATAATTCTTGGTCAATTGGACACAAGTTTCGTTAATTTGAAAACTTGTCATAAATATTTTTTTTAATGGACGTCATTTTTGGACAGTTAAAAATTGGCGACGTATTTTTGGTAATTTTAAAACTGGACATAGATTGATTTTGCTAGACTAAAAACCGAACATAAAGTTTGTTTTTAATAAATGGATATGATTTTTGGCCAATCAAAAACTGGACATAAATTTTTGGTAATTTTAAAAATCGACATAGATTTTGGCCATTTAAAAACTGGGCACAAATCGATGGTTTTTGAAAAATGTAGATAATTTTTGTTTAAATTAACGGTACATTTTTTTAACCAATTAACGATCAACATGACGTATACGTAACGACAGCCTCATTCACTCATTCGAGCCAAGAAAAAAATTAATAAGATTACTATAAACAAAACCACTACATTATTAAGATCACTGACCTAAAAGGGTTCATGAATATTAAAGACAATATAAAAATTTGATAAAATCTGTAATTATTCATCCAGTATTTATTCTTGTGGAAGTTTACCGCAGCTGAAGCAAAAATAGTTTCATTTAATTCACACAGATGCACTATAAAACTTCCCCAATATATCCATGGATACATATGTATGTATGTACTTACTATATATACATATACATTTTCCAACTACTGTTTACTTGTTGTCTGCGCTCTTTTATTGGCCATCACAATCGGCGCTTTCAAAGCGACCGCCACCACTAAATAAATTACTTTAAGGGGCAATATGTCAGTATGAAAGTTGTCGGCGCTTTCATTAATTCCAGCCAGTCAGCCAAGTGGGGGCAAAAACACCATATCACATGCAGAAGCAAAAACAACAACAACACAAGTAGTGCACAACAATAGTGGCACACCAACAACAGGCGATATGAGAGCGTGTAAGCAAAAAATGAACAGCAAGCATGGAGCGACCACTGAATCAGCGCGACGGGCAACAGTTGCCGGCAAACGATGCGGCGGCGCGTTAACGCAAGTGTTGGCTTTCAAATCGGAATGCTTGTGCAAAATAACCAACAACAACAATGGCATGCACGCAGTCATTTGATGACTGGGCTGGCTGGCTGGCAAACTGTTGACCAGGGCGTATGAATAAGCTGGCGCGCGTGCGTTTAAAGGCAGGGCAGGGCAAGGCAAGCCGAATGAACTCAAAGTCCACAAAGCTGAAGCGTTTGGCATTTCGAATAAGCAGGGGTGGGAGGATGCGTGTGGGAAATACTTGGAACGCTTTTGTGGCGCCGGCTTTGAATGCATCACCATTAATTACAAAATTCTTATGGCATTTTTTTATATACAATATATTATATATATTTTTTTTTTGCTTTTATTGTACGTATTTCCCGCTTTTGTTATGCTGATTGCTGTAAGCTTGCTTTCCTACACTCGGCTGAGTGGTTGGATGGCAGCTGACTGTGGTTGGTCGGCTGACTGGCATAAACTTTTAAGCCTTTGTTTGCGATAAATTGCATGCGAGTTGGCATTAAATTCCTTGGTTAGTCAACGTCAACGACAGTCAAAGCGCCAATAGCGGCGCTGACGCCGACTTAGCGTCGAGTAAACCAACTTGAGCATTCCACTGGCGAGATAAGTCGCGCAAATATTTAAAACAGTTGCCTGCAAATATGTACAAAAAAACTAGTTGACGGCAGGTTTACTGTCCGCTAGCTAGCAGCACAGTAGACGGCAACAACAGCATGCAAAAAAATAAAAAGTCGCAGTTAATAAATTATAACAACGCGACGCGTATGACGGTAGCTGTACATATGTATGTGTGTATTGACGTTGCATTAGCGGCGCCGGATATGTGGCGAATTAATTTAATTACATACAACGATTAACAACAAACAGCTGCTAGCGCTGTCAATTTAATAACTGTTGGTGTAAAGTCATTCAGATTTAATGATGGCATGGAATAATACACACATACATACATACATATGTATATGTATGTTTGTTCGTATGCATGGACATATCTACCGTCACAAAAAATGGCATAAATTTAGGAACATCTTAAAACAGGAGGTCAATTTTTGGTAATTTTTAAACTGGACATAAACATTTCCAATCTTAAAACTGAACGAACATTTTTGGTGGTTTAAAAAGTTAGAATAATAATAAATTTGTTGTTGAAAGTTTTTGGTGATTGAAAAATTTATCAAAAGTGTCAGTCATATAAAAACTGGACATAAATTTATGGTTTAAAAACATGATCATAAAAACTGGAAATAAATGTTTAGTAATTTTAAAACTGGATCACCTTTTAGATCATTTCAACAACTTTTGGTTTCTTAAAACCTGGATATAATTTTTAGTCGTTAAAAAACTGGTCACACATTTTTGGTCATCAAAAAAAATTTTAGGTAAACATTTACCGTTTAAAAACTAGACATCATCATTTAGACTTACACATACATTTATTGAATCTAAAAACCGAACAAAATTTCTAGCTAGATGGCTAAAATCCAGACATAATTTATTTCATATTTAAAACCCGGAGATACATTTTCCGCTGCATTTAAAACCTGAACGTATATTCCTTTTTATTATATAAAATTTACTCTAAATTTTGGCCATTTAAGAACTGAACATAATTTTGGGACATAAATTTCTTGTTATATAAAAACTGTACATAAATGTTGGTATTTTAAAAACTAGTCCAACAATTTTTTTTCCATAATCAGTTTTTTAAATGACCAGTTTTTTTAACTATCAGAACGTTTATTCCAGTTTCTATATTGTCAAACATTTTCGTTCAATTTCTAAATTAAGTTAAATTTATGTTCATTGTTTAATTTCACACTGTACATAAGCATATTAGCATTCACTTATTATTTATCATTGCAATTAAAACTTTTTTTCTTCGCCTCTCTTCCACTTGCAGTTCAAGAATGCACCACCGACTCGGAGGAGCTCATGTACCATCAGGTGCGCGCCTCTTCTTCCTGCAGTGCTCCGCCCGATTTGCTCATGGTTAGTGATCGTGAAAATAATATACCGTTACGTTCACCTGTAGTCAATATAATTGCAACGACGACCACAACGGGGGCAACAACAACAACAACGGCAACAGCCAATCACAGCAGTGGTGGCGGCGGTGGCGTGGTGCAAAAACATCATCAACAGCATACTACGGGGCAACAGCAGCCACAACAACAGACACACAGAGAACATCAACACCAGCAACATTGTTCAAAAGATGGTAAACAACATCTGAAATTGAGTAGCAAAAGTGCTGCTGCAAGTAAATTTATTAGCGCGCAGCAACAGTTGGCCGTTGCAAGCCAGCAGTCGCAGCAGTTACAGCAACAACAGGATGAGATTGATGGCCAACAGCAGACAGCGCATCAGCAGCGGCACTCCTCACATCAGCATGGCGGCGGTGGCAACAAGGAGGAGCGCATACGGTTGGAGGTGAGTTAATTAAAAGCACAGTTAAGTGGCCTGAAAAGGCCAAGCTTCTGCTGGTTCTTTTCTGTATGATAAAACATTTAATTTAGATGGAAATGTTTAGTACATCCATAGACTTTCCTGTAAAATATATCTGTTTCAAAAAGCAGTATCTTTGTTTTTTGTCCCACCCGTGACAGAAGAAACAACTCTGAATCTTTCCATATAAAATTATGTTGGAATTTCTTTAGTATTTGATAAATAATAACTCATACATAAGTTAATTAGGTGTAGCTTTATCGAAACTCAGAATTACATACGAAATAATCCAGGAACAAAACTTAGTGAAAATAGGTTGCTTATAGTTTTTGAGCCCTTAATTTTTTTTTATGAAAAAGCGTTATTTTCGTACTTTATTCACTTGTCTATTAACAGACTATTTTCCATCCGATTTTTAAATTCAAACATATTTCGAAAAGTCGATCTATAGACCTTTAATATAATGTATAACATTCTACTGGCGAACTATGATTCTTGGGAGTATTAATCGGATAAGGTTTAAATCCACTATTTTTCTTTACTTTTCTTTTTCTTTTTTTTTTACTTTTCCACTCTGATCGTCGTTAATTTCAGAAATTTCTATGAAAGTTTCCATATATTTCGTATTTATTTTCGAACAAATAAATAATTTAGTGAAGTCGAATAAAAATTGCCGAAATTAAGCAATTTAACTAGAAATACGGTCCAGCTGAGAAAATGGCGACCTGAACCTGGTTTGAGCTGCTGTGCTCCAAAAGGTTACACATTTCGGCAATAGTCAGCATTTTTGCTTGGAAAATACTAGTAAGGTCTGTAAAACCAAGTTCTGTCTTGGAACCGTCGGATTTTTAGTTTTCGAGAGACATATCGAATTCCGTATTCCAGTCCTATATAGACGGGGGTATAATCCTAAAGGTCTTTGAAATTGTCGATTTATTTTGGAACGAATTTCCGGCATCCCTTGTCAAATTTGGTTCGGTGTCATTTTCTTGCAATCAAATTTTTTGCGTTCTTACAGGGCATTTCTGGCTGAGAGAGTTGCAAGTACTTTGCATGACAATTGAAAGAAAGTAGGCAAGATAGTTTGAAAGATTTTTTTTATTCAGGCACGAAAGACTTACCAAAACAAAGCTCCTTAGCCAACTTTCATGGTGAAAGCTCTTGAGTATATTCCAAATGGATATGTAGGTATACCACTTTGCTCGCGCTGCTACAGCAGACGCAATGGCCTAGTGAGCAAAACACCGGCGTGCTATTTGACAGATTCGAGGTACGAACAAAATTCGACAATTCGCGCAACAAAATTTTTTGTAAATTTATTAATTTTTTTTTTTTTTATCTGAGATTTTATGGATCTAATAAGAAAACTTTTGATTTTCATAATTTTTAATTGCATTTAATTTTTAAAAACTATTTTATGTATTTTTAAATTTCATTTAATTGTTAGAAATGTATTTAAGCATTTTTCAATTTTTTTCAAACTTTATTCTTTTAATTCTTAGATTTTATTGTTCCACAACGAAAAATATATGTTCTGTTTTAATTTCATTTAGTCTTTAGAAATTCGGTCTATAATTTTTTGTTTTTGTTTAATTTCATCTTTTCCGCGTTTTAAACTTACTTTTTTTATATATTAGATTTATTATTTAAAAATGATTTTTTTATTTCATTTAAAGTTTAGAAACTTTTTTCGTTATTTAATTAAATTTTTTTTTTATTTTTGGATTTTAATGTTCCGATTTCATTTAATTTTTAGAAACTTATTTTAATATTTTTTGTTTTCGATTAAATTTTTTTCTTCTTTTATACCTTAATATTAATTTTATATTTTATTGTTCTCAAAAGATTTTTTTATTTCCTTTAATTTTTGGTAACTTATTTATTTACTTATTTTTAATTTAGTTCGTTTTAAATTTTTATTTTTTATTGTTTAAAAAGAAAAAACTATTTTTTTTTAATTTAATTTAGTTATTTTAAACTTGTTGCTAAAAGAGTAGTTGCCAGAATTGAGTTGAAAGATAGTTGCCAGAATTGCCGTGTTTCTTGTGTTCATTACTTGAGGATAAATCGATAATTGAGGCGAAAAAATTTAGAGCACATGTATTATCTAATATCGTATTGGGTTCAAGCCCTGGTCAAAGCAACATCGCCAAAAATTTTAGATAAAAAGGTTTTTTCCTAACAGCGGTCACCCCTCGGCAGGCAATGGCAAACCTCCGAGTGTATTTCTGCCATGAAAAACCGATTCTCATAAAAATACAATCGCCGTTCGGAGTCGGCATAAAACTGTAGGTCCCTCCTCTTTGTGTGACAACATCAAGGCGCACGCCACAAATCGGAGGAGAAGCTCGGCCAAACACTAACCTATGTGTAAGCGCCAATCTATTATTATTATCGATCCTTGGATTGAAATCGTTAAATGAGCTCTAATGAGCTTATTTATGGTCTTATAATAGTATTCAGGGAAGTTTCATGGATCATGGAACCATTTTCCATATGGTTCTCAGGTTTCAAACTCCAAATATCGTTTTCCACCAAAGTTCGTAGATGAGGATGAAATACCCTCTTCTCAAACTATTTTATGCAAATCTCTGCAGCCTGTAGCTTTCGCTTGAGATTTCTGGGGCTCCTTCTTCTAGGACCAGACCGCCTTATTCGACAGGCACAGTGTACCTCGCAAGGGCAGTTAAACTATACACAGTTTTTGGAATTAAATATTTTAAACTACCTATTCTCTATGTAGTTATCTATTGCTTTTAAATTCAACTTCTATTGCCCTTCAACAATTTTAATTCGATTTACCCATTTGTTATACAATTTATTGCACTTTGCTTTCAAAATTTTAAAAACCATAAAAATCACTTCACCACAAATGGTGTCTCCTGCGGCTACATATGTATGTATGTACGCACATAGCTCTAGGTGGAGGCTAAACCAAACAGCACAGTAAGTGTAGCAAAGCGCCACTAGAATCCAACAAAATCTTTTAATCATTCAACAAAATTGAAAAATTTATTTGTTTTCCTAGTGGAAAACGAAGATAGTAAGCACATACACAAACACATACATGTGGCCGACCGTGGTGCCTTTTCCAAATCTGAATTTGTATTGAATCCAGTTTTTTTTTTGGTTTTTGTTGATATTTCCAAATACGTGCTGCGTTATAACAGTGAATTTTGCACAAAAAGCACGCAACGGGTTGCCGGCCATATGTAAGTAGACGGTCAGGTGGGAAGGGATTGTTGTACATACATATGTAGTATATACACATAGGGGGTGTGCTGTTGCGGAAAAGCCAGCTAGCAGCGCTATGCGGTATACAAAAATGACGTTGAATTTGATTTGTTTACGAAAACCAACGTCGAAAGCCACTTCTGCAATTCTGAAAGCTTACAGTGCTGCTCACCAGCCAAATCCAATCAAATCCCAAATCAGTTTATTTTGTTTTGGATTGCAGCCGGCCGGCAACGAGTGCGCTTCTCGCTCAATTGGGATGCTGATTCGTGTAGAGATTTATTTGTTGATTGTACAAACATGTGCAACAATTAGCAAGAAAACAAAATTCAAAACAGAATCACTATATGTAGTGGATGGGCCTGGGTACTCGTATAACAGAAAAAAGGAAAGCAGGAAACGAATTTTTGTAACAATATTTAATCATTCTGGAGCGTACATAAGTATGTATGCATCTTTTAAGTGAATTTTTTCAAATTGGTGCAAATATTTCCAAAAATTGATCTTAGTTAGTTACAACGTAGTAAGTGAAGCAGCTAATAGTCCTTTTTCGTATCCGCATTAAGATACATATCTTGCAACGGTATAAACTCTGCTCTTCGTTGAACCTGGGCATCTGGTAAGAAGAGCTCTACTGTCTTCTGTTCGTTTTCGTTTATACAGAATTCATTGTAGATCTGCCGTGGGTACCAATCGGCCAATACCCAGTAAAAACCTGTACTAGCCTCGCAACGTCAGGTCTGGGATTTGCTGACAGGTCGAATAGTTTTTTCTTAGGTTTTTTCGCGGGCAATGTGCTTTTGGCTATATGACTGCCTTTTTTGTGTACATACATATACATACGTACGTACTGAGACCACATCAATCCCTCTCTGGCTAACAGACCAGCAGCCTCGTTTCCGTAAATACTAAGATAAACAGGCACTCAAACTAAATTTACTTCGCATTGAATAGTAACTTTTCACACTTTACCCAAGATCAACTTTGTTGTAAAGGACGCTAGAGCTAATCCTCTTAGCTGTTGCGTAAGCTACCAAGCTTCGAAAGACGACAACCTTTGCCTATAGCAAATACTCTTGACTAGAAAACATATCCTAAATCAGGCAGATGCTCTGATATGCCTACTGCCAGAGATACAGAGGAAAAATATGTCCCACCCACTTTGGGGGTGTACAAATTATGTATCCAAGCAGACGTTTCGAATTCCCCGTCCCAGTTGGCTCCCGCCAGATGAATTCTACTTCATATCACTTATACTTAGTCAGCGCCATGTCTTACCTTGGAAGTTATTCGAGAGATTATACTAGCTAGTTAATTTGTCGGTGGATTCCTCGCACTTTCACAGACTATCAGCTGGCTGTTAGATACTTTATGTTCGTGATGCCTTAAATCTTTTATAAATTTTCTAAGTCTCCTTCACACGTCACGATGGCCAACTTGCGCTTTTGTGTCAGAAAGTTTCGTACGAATGTACTTTTTTGAATGGAGGCTTCACTGTAGCTTCATGAATTTATGCGCCAGCCGCAAAACTTTTTACCAATCACAAATCTGGGCTACCAAAGGAGGCAACCATCGATGTGGCTTGAGTAAACTTCGCCACGTACGGCTACCTATGTACTTCTCTTTTACAGATAGGCCTATATTATCTTAACGTGAAAATTGTAGTAGGGATGACTTTTCTGGTGGTTGAGGACACCAAGAACACATGAAAGCATCGTCCCATACTAGGGTCAGAACAACTTTATGTGGTTATTGATTTTGTTCTTGTTTTTGTAACATATGTATCCCCGAATGGGTTGATTTGACTCCTTAAAACATACACGCCAATAGAGACTTTTGCACCAAAACGCTTCGGGCGATACATGTTTGGGAAATAAGTATGTATAAAGCCTACAATATCAATATTATGTATGGTGTCGTTCCGGAGGTATGTCTTGTGGCTCGACGGATTTTTAGCGTCATATTATTCACCAAAATAGTCAATACGCTTCCATGAATTATCGAAGAGGCATCAAAAGCCTAACCAAAACCGTCAGCATGGGCTTGCAACCGGATTATGCTTTTTTGCCTCAAACTCTATCTGCCCGCGGTATTACCGTTAGATATTTCGGACGGACGAGGATTTGAACACTGAGCTCTCTCGTCAGTGAAGGTGCCTAGTGTAATTCGGGATAAGCTGCACCAACTTGACACACCCCACTGTTGGTCATTCGATCACCCTTCTGTACCAATTTTACGTCACCACCCCCGTTAAAAGCCAGCAGACAAAAATTCGCGTGTTAGTCGATCGCATTAATATCTGGATAGTAAAACGCAATAAGCGTCTTCCAGATAGTCGCTGTCGCAATTTTCGTAGTGGTCATCTTCATCGTTACAAATAGAGTGCCTTTGAAGTTAACCTCCCTGCTGTATCTGGAATCGTGGTCTTGTAAACTTATTTGCATATGGATCAAGGCTGAATGAGATGGTAGGTGGAGGTGTCTTCTGCAAAAAACTCTCCACAAGCCTGAAATTTAGGTTACCGGATCACTGCAGCGTCTTCCAAGTAGAGGTGACCCCGCAACAAAATAGGCTTCGGATTGGTTGCTCTCTAGTGTAACACCTTTTAAGGAGGTGAATATTTATTCCGACAGCCAAGCAGCTATAAAAGCTCTTGGCTCCTTGACGGTGCGTTCGAGAATGGTCACAGAGTGTCTGAATTCCATATCGACCGCATCGGGTTTCTCCGCTGTTAAGCATATTTGGGTTCCAGGTCACAGAAAAATCGCTATAAACTGCATGTCGGATGAGCTGGCATGACAAGGAACCTTTGAAGAACTACTTCCGAAGGTCTGGGAGCTCTCCTGACTTCGTGTGGTCTGCTTCTGGACAGATGGGCGTTTAGTCAGCTGAGCGAGTGCCAGGCGAAGACCTTGGAATACAAGGTGGCAAAATCCTTCTGGCAAAATCCTTCAGTCTTCGGGGTTTATTAAACGGGTTTTTCAAAGTTAGTCGGTCGCTTCGGAATAGATTATTTTCTATGCAAAATGGGTATTTATAAGTTAATTTCGATAGGGTTTTTTTCCAGCAAAGTGAGTGTAGTGGTTCTTTTCGACTTTGAATTATACTAAAACGGATATCGTCTCAGTAATTTGTAGATTACAAGTATGACCTCATCTTCTACTCCGAAGTTTAGCAATTTTCGGAAGTATCCATTGATCTGTTTAGTTAAAACAGCCGTGGTTACCAAATGTGTGGTTTCAACACAGATTCCAAAAGTGTCAAAAATATATGAATATAAGAAACAAAACACAATGAGTATAAAAACAATGTGGACAGTCTAATATAATTTTAATTTTGTAATTAAAATCGCAGAACTAATTACAATAGATAAGATTTTATATCTTCATCTTAAGAAGATTTAATGGCGGGTAAACTTCACTATGGATGTATTTGGAAGAAAACAGTGAATGCTAAAAAAAACTCCGCTGAAAGGCCATGAAACTGTCAAATAAACAAAAATTACTGCCACATAAAAGAAAACAACAAATAAATAGCAGAAACAAAACAAAAACAAAAAGTAAAAGGAAATTTCAGTGAATGCTGGAAGTAAGGAAAGAATACGAAAAAAAATTAAAGAGGAAATAACGGAAATAGTAATCACTTTAAACACAACAAAAATAACAAGCAACTTCGCGAAGCTCCTGGAGTTTGCAACAACGCGTTGATGTAGGCGTAAGACAACGAGAATGAGCTGAGACTGAGTTGACTACTGCGTGCGATAATCTACTGGAGGTATTTGGGAAATTATTACGCCACGTTGACTTTTATGACATTACACACGACTTAATGTCATTTAGGTAATTGTGGCGTTCAGGTATAACGTATGTAAATATGTATGTATGTATGCATGCGTTCTGTAAGAACACGCCCACATACATATGTATGTAAGTACCAGCTAACTCCAGTGGCAAAGGCAGATAGCATCGCAGCAAGTAGGCGCGTTTGATAGGATAATTTCCACGGCAGGCACTTGGCCTGAATACCAGTCCATGCATAAAATTTGCCCGCTCAGCTGACATGCCATGAGTCGTAAGCAGGAAGGCCTTTATTCAAAGCAGGATGATGATGATACAGTAAAAAGCGTAAAAGAAAACATATTTCACGCACTGTTGCAAATGGCAAATGGCATGAAAGCGCAGGCGAGAGAAAACTAAGCAAATACAGACGCAGATGATGTTGTGTATTTGCAAATATATTTACACATGTGTAAGCATTTTTCAGTGGCAAATTCAACTAGCAAAGGCAACCACCACCGCAGACATACTACTTCAAGGTGCTTTGCAACTTTTCGATAAATATTCGAGCGCGCAACATTTGTGTTGAAAAATTAAAAATTGTTTATTTTTTTAAATGAATTTACGAGCCTCACAGCGACTCAACACATTCACATATTTATTCACATTTAGATAAGATCATTCATTACATGCAACTACTTGCATGCAAACAGTCACACTGGCGCCCATGGACACCCCCTCAGGCGATCGTGGCGGCAATCAGTCGTATTTGTATATTTATTTTCTTTTAAGCGCCGTTTGCATGTTTTTCTTGCACTAACGTTTTACAATAAAGCATCCGTCAAATTGCATTTTCTAGTCACTTCAATTTAGAATTTCTTAGAAAATTGCGCTCCATGTCTCGACATTGGCTCATTGTTGTGTGTTAATTTATTTTCTCAGCACCTTCTAATCGGCAATAAAAATTCTTGAATCGTCGAAAAATGCAATTTATTGAAGAAAATTTTCAGATTTAAAATTTGAAATGTTAAAGATAAAACTTGAAATGCTAGTGTCCCGCAGTCCCTGTGTGCCATTGCTTGATTTAGAACTCATAATAACAAAATCTTAAACACCATTAACGTAATAAATTTCAACTCGCACATCTTTAATTTGCGTCCACTCGCCGGGAAGTGTGTAAGCGACGCACTCTAAATACATACATACATACATATTAGGGTATTAGAAGAAATTTAAAAATTTAGAAAAAATTTAATCAGAGTTTGAAAAAAATTTGTGAACCAGTGTTATTAAACAAAAGTGGAAAGGATTCAAAATACAACTTAAGAACAATTTAATTCAAACAAAGATTTAAATAGAGCTGGCAACTTTCTAAAATATTACTAACCTTTGGCATAAATAGAACTTACTATCAAAAACTTACTACCAAAAACTTACTATCAAAACGCTATAGCTATAGAACGACAGATACTTTTTGACCAATATGATAAAAAGTGTCCAGTTTAAAACAAAATTATTTAGAGGAATGAAAATTTTGAAAACAAAATTCGTTTGAACTTCATTTAATTGCAATTTTTGTATTGTATTCATAACAATAAGTAAACTAATTAGTGTTCGTCCAATTTGTGCTATTTCAGAATTTCCATATTCATTATTTCCATTAAAATAAACAATTTACATTTTACAGGCTTGTTATTGACCTCATGATACACTATATTTTCACTATTATCAAAAGATTTGAGAAATATTAAATTTTCGACCCGCCCTAATGAACATTCTATTCGAAAACTTCCCAAAGTTATTAAAAAAAGATAATTATAATTTTTCCGAGTAACAATTTCGGTACTTTTTCGCCTAAATAAACGTTTTAAGGCTATATTTTTTCACATACTTGATTTATTTTTTATTGTACTTGTTTCTGATACTCCATTGATTGAAATATATGCAAGAAGAATGCTTTAGCGTTTTTATGTGTGTATAAAAGTATACAACGCAAGCTACGAAAAGCTTTCGTACATAATTTCTTTAACAGTGTTGCCACATTATTAAAAAGTTCATAAAAATTAAATGCGTTGAGTATAAAATTTAAACGGGTATACTGTCTAAGATGCATTTTTATGTATGTAATATATGTGCACGCCTTGATTATTATAATGCAGACAAATTTCTCTTCATTTTGTAGAGACGCAAATGGCTGATCGCCAAATATTTGCTTCCTGAATTTAAATGCAAATGAAATAGATTTCTTTTGAAAACTTACATACATATAAGGCTTGTATAACTATATGTATATGCGTGTATGAATGTAAATATATAGTTTCAAAATAAAATTTTCCGCAATTTTATTTCCGTTGGATATCTATTTGGCGTTGTTAGGCACGTACTGTCGCTTACATACACATTTATGTACATACAAATGTATTAGCTGCATTTATAGATACTTTTGAAAATTTTCTTGGAAGCGCAGCGAATTTATTGGAGCGTAAAATTGCAACGCAAGCAAATGGAAATTGACAGGCAGAAGGCGTAGGCCGAAAATTCTATGCAAACTTTTTTTTTTAATTTTTAGTTTGTATGTTTTAAATGAGCCTGGTACAAATCTATAAAGAATCTACTTTGGCCACCGAGAAATCTCAAAACGATATAGCCCTTAAAAATGCTAGAATTTTTTTAAACATATTAGCGTATTTCAATATGAATATCTACTCATACTTTATACGCCAATATTTCTGATCATATCTACATATGTATCTGTAGACCTCTACAACTCGCACTCAAAATGTGTCTCAATCTTTCAACAATATCTTTCTCCCCCTTTTTTTTACTTATTTGCAGGAGTTCACTTGTGACGTTTCCGTAGAGGGTGGCAAATCCACACAGCCACTACAGTTTTCCTTCACCTTCTACGACCTCGACGGCCATCATGGCAAAATCACAAAGGATGACATTGTCGGCATCGTCTACACGATATACGAATCGATCGGCAAGTCAGTGGTGGTGCCGCACTGTGGCAGCAAAACAATCAACGTCCGCCTCACTGTCAGCCCAGAGGGCAAATCAAAATCAGCCGCAGCCGCCGCCGCCGCCGCCGCCGCCGCTGCAACAACTGGTGGTGGTGTTGGCGGCAAGTTGAAAAAGATGGCCAACGGCGCCGGTACTGGTGCTGGTGCTGGCATATTGGAGACAGCGACAAAGACAAACGCCAGTCACAGCGGACATGGTCATACACGTCGTCAGCATCGCTATCGGCCGCGCAAACTAATTAAATCGGATGATGAGGACGATGACAGTAACAGTGACAAGGAAAAGGAAGCGGCGACAACGACAAGTGCCGCTGCAGCTGCTGCCTTGGCGGTTAGCAACAGTGTGGGTGGTGGCGCAGTGGGAATGGCGGCGATGGCAGCCACAACTGCAGGCGGCAAATCAAAAAGTCATTCCAGCGCCAGCAAGTACAATAAAATGAAGGCCTCAGCCGCGGCAGCAGCGGCGGCGGCGGAGCAGCAGCAATTGTGGTATCAACAGCAGCAGCAGCAACAACAACAGGAGATGGTGGGCAATACGGCAGACCAAGAGCAACAGCAAACACCACCACACATCGTTGCTTCCGCTACTGGTGCTGATGCAGATACGACGGGCATTTGCCCACACGAGAATCTCTATGAGAATATGACTACAGCGAATCTCAAATGTTGCACGAAGGATGCACCATTGCTGAAGGTGGAAGATTGTCGCGGCTGTGAGGCGACAACGACGACGACCACGCCAGTTGTGGCGAGTGGCGGTGCACTGCCACTTACGACGACCGGCTATGGGCGCTCACCAACGGATGTGTATATGCGACAGGCGTCTACGCGCGTTAAAATGCTACGCAAGGCGCGAAAACAGAAGGTAATTAATAATCCCTTAATGAGTGTATATTTGTTTGTAAGAGTATGTGAAAAGGTGGCAACAACATTGCAGAAATTACAAGAGGAAAATGTGGAAAATTAAACGGAAGTTTTGATATTGAATAATTGCAGCTCAACTATGATTTATGCGCGGTTTTGATTTGTTGTTGCCAAGTTTCATTCCTCTATTTGTAAGGTAATGCGTTTATTGATGTTTATATGCACGACAAAAAGAAGCCTTGTGGATGCATGTTTTATCTTATTTTATTTGAATATCCATATTCGGTTTAAATTACATATATGCAGTGTCGCCACTAAAAAATTACTTTTACAATTTAGTGCATAAATATATAAAAACCTAACCAAAATATTTAGCAAAATAACAGACATGCCTAAAAAATATTACATATCGATACCTGAGTGGCAGAACGACCTATATCAGCAGCCAGTTCGTAAATGCGCTATCTCAGAGCGTTCTTCAATCGAATTCTCAAGTAGGGATTTCTTGTAAAGTTTTCTGAGATAGGGCGTTTGCGAACTGGGCGCCGAGATAGGTCGATCTTCCACTCATATAACTATAAGCCCAGGGGAGTGTTTATAATAGCAGTTTGAAGTTGACTTAACGGCCCTATTCCCGCGACAACGGGAATACTCATCGCATGATTAATGATTTAACTACGACTCCCAAGACTTTGACGCCAAATATTAGTATTCTTTTCTTTTGTCATCTACTCAAGAGGTCATAATAACGACCATGACATTGTCATCTACACATATTGGAAATATGTTGGGTGTATCGGAATTGATTCTGGGCTAAAAAGTGTTTGACTTTCTATAACATCCAGAACGGAGTCGGGCCAGATTAACTTGTACTAATAGCATTCTTAGGACGTGAGTTGACGAAGGTGTTAGATTGCGTCTAGATGAAGGTTTGTCTATAGTCCTTGAGGCGCCTCAGTTTCCTTTAATTTTCAGCTGAGGGGATGCGTGCGGTAGAAACCCTGTAAGTGTTGCTTGTTTAGAGAAATTTTAGTCCATCAACTGGGAACGTAAGAACTTCACTATGCAGTTGGCATTCCAATGACATCATAACGCTTTCCGTGGCCTAACTATTGGCGGCGTAATTTGTTGATTGCGTCACACTAGTTCCCAGCGACCAGTGGCCAATCGACTTCTATAGTGTCTTTGCTCCAATTGCTGTCTGTGAGGACCCGGTCTTTACTTTGTTGGCGATAGCGTTTAAGTTCGCGGAGAAGCAGAGCAAGCTGTCAAACGTAACGCGCCAAATTTTGCACTAGCTTACAGTCCAGTTTCTTATTCGTTCAGGTTGCAAATAGAGTTGTCATACATTTATTAGGGAAGGCATTATTTTTAATTCTGTGAAGAATCCGGAAGTCATCAATGTCATTCCACTACGACGAAATCAGAAATAATCGGCGCATGAGATCAAGCACTCGCTCTCTGGCCGAGAAAAGAGTTTTGGTTTCTTTTAGAGGAAACCATTTTGCGGAATCACCTCATAAATATGCATCGGTTTTTAAGTACGATCTCGAAACGAAACAGATTATTGTCCAGCATTCAGATATCCCAAATTTTAGCTGAGGTGAGGGGCAAGACCTTTTGTGCCTTTGAGTAGCCCTTTACGACTGACCCTTCCAGCAGGACAAGTGCTATTTAGTGTTGTGCTGAATTGTCGGTAGCAAATACTCGTTACCCAATACTTTGAAAAGATGTCGGTACCCAATACTTCCTATTCGGTACCCGATACCGATTCTATACATTAAACCGTCGTCAGTATATGGGCAAATCTAAAAAACAGGTAACCTTGGTGTTTTTTAGCTTTATTTTCACTGTTGGAATCTATATCAAGCTGGTTGCTTTTGGATATAATTTATTGACGTATACTTGAAGCCTCAAAAAAAATTTGGATCAATTTGCCGCATAACTTTTGAATTATAGGTGTTTAAATAAAAAATAATAATGAAAACAAGTGAATTTTTTATGCAATTTTTAAGAGGTAAAAAATTAATTATGCCATAACTTTTGAAGCACACCATATACTGATTTGAAATTGTATGTGCAATTAGTACTTATGTGTATACTTCAAATGTTGTAGATAAGATCATTTTTGTGGTTAAAAAATAACGAAATGGCAAGTAACTCAAAGTCTGTAATTCCACATTTCACAATTTTCAAAATTTTCGGTTTATCGCGTATTGTTTTTGAAGCATTTAAGTTTAAGAACTTTTTAAGTATGTATTGTATACTACAAACAATTACGAATAATTTCATACCTGAGCAAGAGCTGTGCTTTCAGAATAAACCAACTTTTAAAGATGAAATATTATGCGATCTTGAGCGTAATTTTTATTCCAAAAACACTTTAATTAAAGCCACATTTGGAAAACACGTCGAAACGATCTAAATCTTTCTATAACTGCTAGTCCTTATAAAATTACATATACCTGTAAAATGCTTCAAAAAATTTATCTCTAAAAGTGTGTAAAAACCCTGATTTACTACTCTTAATGATGCTACTTCTTTTAGTCAGAATATTTCGAGAGTGGTATCAAAGCAACTTTTTTTCGACAAATGTTCTGATAGTTGCTCTTACTTAATTGGAGCCTTCTGAATTCAATGGCGTCCTAAGTTTTACCCTATTGGCTCCACTTTTCGAGATAGCGGTACTTGAAACTTTCCTTAAATTTTAACTATTTTATAAAAAAAGTCCCTGGGTTTTGAAGATATTTTACTAAAATTTTGCACATAACCGTTTTTTAATATTACCTTAACTATTCCATAAAATCATCGAAATCGGTTCACTAAAACATATAGCTCCCATACAACTGATTGATCTGAGAGGTTGTTTTGCGTTATAACTCCTTCAATTAAACAGGTTAAAATTTAGTATAGGTTCAATTTAACATATAGCACGCATACAATTTATTATTCAGATATGAAGTTAGAGTTATTGCGCAAAAACACATATCTGAGTAATCAGTTGTATTGGAGCTATATGTTAATGTTAACCTATTTCGATAATTTTAAGGAATAATTAAGGTAATATTAAAAAACTGTTATGTGTAAAATTTTAGTAAAATAACTTCAAAATTAAGGGAGTTATTTATAAAATAGTTAAAATTTAATCAAATTTTCAAGTACCGTTATCTCGAAAACCGGAGCCAATCTGGTAAAACAGGGCATGCCATTGAATTTAGAACATCCCAATTAAGTGAGTTCAACTTTCAAAATCTTTCCTCAAAGTTTACAACTTGAACAGCGTAATTTCAACCCAGCTTATTCTTTTGTTTTCTATTTCATGCTTATTCCTCGTCTAACTTTTGAAGCACTTGATGAATATGAATTACACTTATATTAATAGATTTATTAAGAGATTACGAATAAAATGATATATAAAACATAGGTGTGCTCACAAATTTAAAAATTAAAATTTTTTGTTTAAAAGTGTACCTATTTTTTAGATTTGCCCATATACATATATTTCAAGTTTAGAAAAAATTTGTTTCATTGCTATTTTATGTGATATCGGCTAAAAATTTTAACTTACCGTAACAGTAAAATACTATTTTACCTGTTATACATTAGTAGATCCAAGGATAAAACAAAAAATGGTTTAACGGATGAAGAAGCTTTTGAGGCCTTCAAAGATAATATCGTTCGATTCATGTAGAACAAAAATTCTTTAAACAAAAACGGTTTCTCTGTATTATGGCGACGGACCGACACTGGCGCATCCAGCGGTAAGGAACTGTCCAAAATCCTCATGCCTATACAATTTTTATGTAGCATCCCACAATGACGCGGCGTTAGCGTCAAGCAAAATGAAGTTAGATGTAGAAGACGGAAGGGTAGGGAGAGGACAAAAAGCGAAAGAGAAAACTAGAATAAAAATTATAAGAAATGAAAAACGTCAAATATTACTACGCGTTGATTTGGTTATAGCGCGCGCTGGCGCTCCAATTTAGGGACGACAGATACATACCTTTATACATTTTTCTGTTGAAAACGTATTAAAAGCTCTATTACGTACATTCGGCTTTTGCTAGGTAAGTCTCCCCTGAACCGCTTTTTACATATTTTTGGTCTATGTGTGCCTTTAAAATATCAACTCGGCACATCACTAGTGCTATTAACATTGGTTTTGAGGCTTGATCTCGGCAAATGCACAGATGGCTTAACCTCGGTGATTACAAAAAATTTATTTTTAATAATAACGTTCTCTGACAAATTAAGAGCCGCGTTTTTAATACATAAGCCCATATTGGGCTCAGATGATTTCCCTTTACTACCGAAGAGAGATATCAGACTATATGGCACCACAATTGGATCCCCATGTCCAAAACCTGGCCGAACTCTTAGGTAGAACTTCATTACAGGGTTCCGAAACGTGTTTTTTCCCACATTTCGCATAGCAACATGGATACTTTTGGTTGATTGGTTGGTTTTAGTGCTTCCCTGCTATGCCCTGCTGTCTTTTGCTTAATATTCGTAAGACCTGATAATTCACATTGGAAATGGTGGACCCATCTTCTAGCTGGCAGCTGGTATGTTTACCTGAGCGTCTGTGACCAAAAGGGGTGTCTTTATATTAAATACTACTGTCCTTGATTTAATTAGCAGATCCGAGATTCGTCTTGTTATGATCAGGCCATAGTTACCTGGATATCTGGAAGGTCTGTAATCTGCCAGTCCAAGGAAATGTAGATGAATTTCTCTTCGGATTAATCCAAGAGAGCATCCCAGTGGCGTCACCACCCCAGAGTCGTTCAAATACATAGTATCCTGCCTCCGCCAATTCATCAGTTCATACATTAGCTTCGATGTTCCAAGCAAAAGTAGGGTTAAAGGCTGTTTATGTGACATTAAGAGAAATGAAAGGGCAGTTTTCTTCTTTTTTGCTTTGTCGAGGAATGTAAACGTTGGCAGGAGTGCGGGTTGGAGATTTCCGATTCGGAGAATTCTGGACTTTCTTAAGGAAGGCCGTTTTTGCTTTCGAAGTTGATCATATTTAATATCCATTGTTTGCCGATGAAGTCGAGCAGTCATGGAATTTTGTTATGGATGTTGGATTTTGTGACTCTCCCAAAAAAGATCATTGTTGTGTTTAAGGTCGTTAATTCGTATTTGAGATACAAATTTCATAAAAGGGTGGTTTGAGCAAGTACGTCTTCTTCCCTGGGTGGGCTAGGGGCAAAGTTGAGTAGAAAACGAATCTTTTAATGAAACGTCCAAAATAAGTCGAACATTTTTGTATATTGACTAAGGAATTGCTTTTTCTTAAAATTTCATATCTTTCACTTAAATTTATTTGAACAAATCGAGTAAGTAAGAGATCTGAAATTTTGGGAAAAAGCATTACCTTAGTTTTTATGCATACGCATTTATGCATTATAAGTAGTCAGTGAGGTAATCTACTTCATTAAAGAACCGAATATTTTCAAGAAAATAGGAAACTTAAATATTTTAAAAATGGTTTGGCTACTTTTAATTCTATGTACCAATGATCCTTCCTTTACAAAAACAAAATATATTAAAATGAATCACAGCCAAATTCGTTCATTGTTTTTTTGAGTTAACGCAAAACGAAGATGAGGCTTGCATTTACAATACATATGCATGTATAAACGTATGTATGTATGTATGTATGTATATATGTGGTAGACTAATTTTTGCTACAGCTTTTTTGTAAAACTAAATTTTAGTTATACAATTTTTATCTTCAATTTTTGTATGCATAATTTTTATTTCATTTTGTTTTCTGTTTTCTTTTTTTTTCGTTGCATTTTCAACAAAATGACGTTGACGGCCACCACGACAACTACACAATCACTACAATCAACCTCAATACCAACAACTTGCCTTACATTACATTGCATTGCATTGCATTAAAATCATCATCTTTACTGTTATTGCATTTCATTCAACTTCATCTCGCGAAAATCATTCCATTCATCCTTTCATGCACTCATCAACATGCAACAACAACAACAACAACAACAACAACTACCACCGGCAGTTTCAGGACCATTACCATGAAACACGTCAGCGCAGCCTGTCGGTTGGCAGCGAAGCTTGCTGGTATAATCGACATATACAACAACAACAACAACAACAAGCACAGCAACAGCAGCAGCCAGTAAAATTGGAACAGCCGCAACAGCAACAGCAACAGCCACAGCCACAGCAGCATCAGCAATTAGGTGACGTTGTCGATGGCGTTCAACTACGTAATCCGCGCAAGAATGCCACGACTGTCTCCACCGCCTCAACAGTTTTGGCGCCACGGCAACGCAACTCTGCTGAATGCTGGAAAACCGCATTGAATCGCAACGAATTGATGAGCATTATAAGGGAGAGCATGGAGAAGAATCGTTTGTGTTTTCAGATGAGCGGGTAAGCGCTGGGTTTTAAGAGGGGGAGGTGGGTGGAAAAAACTTGTATTATTTACATTCACACACATATACACACGAATGCAGTCATATACGCATGCAATACGGCGCGCAGCGAAAAGCTAGTGCTGGTAAAGCCAACAGCAACAAAAATGAAGAGCATCCTAGCAATCCAAATTTTTTATTCAAAAGGACGTAAATATAACGGAGAACAAAGGAAAATGCATTTTTTGCTAACTAATGAACAGCCTTAAACGTTGATTTGCATTTTGCCATTTTTTTTTTTTGTTTTCGTGCTTTTTCATTCACCTACTTTTTAATATTCGTTATTCGCTGTTGTACAATACTCACACTTCCGTATTTAATCAATCAATAATTTGATGGTGCATGTATTTTTTGTGTGATTATGTGAATTTACTAAAAATTGATAGTGAAAGTCGCCAATGCCGCAACAAATTTTCAAACCTTTTAATCAAATTTTTTACAAAAAATAGCCATTCAATTTTAATATGAAAATTGTAAGTTTGAAGTTGTTAAAAAATCCCGCTGAAAAAAAAAATATCAAAATTCAACGGAATTTTTTACCAACTTAAGACCACTAAAATTTGGTGGACTATATATAACTCGATTGCATACTCGATTTTTTTTTAAATCTGATTAAAAATTTGCTGTGTTTTCCTAAATTTTTTGTAAATTTTTCTTGAATCCTTTTTTAGACAAACTAATGAGCTCTATGTTTCAATAAATAGTCGGGACCAATTTTAAATTGAGTGAGACTCGTTAGCCTCCACCTAGAACCTCGATGCGGGCAGCTAAGCAAAGTTAAGATTAAATACCTCTTAGACCTGAGAGTTTCCGAAGGCTTCCGAAATATCTCAAAAATCCTTAAAAATTCTGAAACTAAACGGAAAAAATTGCAAAAGGTACAACCGGTAGAATCACAAAAAGTCGCGAAATTCTTATAAGTCCCGAAAAAGCCTAGACCACTCCGCAAGGCAATCCCGATATATGCCGAAAAAGAAACACGATAAAAAGCCTCAAGAATTTCGAAAGGCCCCCAAAATAAGCCAAAGTTTCGATGCATCTCGAAAACTAATTCAGAAAAAAAATATGAAGCCCCCAAAAAAAATCTTAACAGTCCCGAAAAAGTCCCAACCACGCTGAAAAATACCGAAAAGTGACGAGATAATCCAGACATATCCCGTAAAAAGAAACTCGAAAATCTAGCGAGGTCTCAGAATATCACGAAAGACCCAGAAAAAAGCCAAAAAGTCCCAAAATTTCTCGAAAACTAAATCAGAAAAAAACTATGAAAAGTCCCCAAAAAATGATTTTTGGCGAAAGCACGACGGAAAAAATCTTCAAAATCCAGGGAAAACCCCGAAAAACACAGAAAATGTGGCTGAAAAAACAGGAAAAATACCGAAAAATTTAAAGCTAATCTCGAAAAATTCGTAAAACTCTCTAAAGGTCCCGAAAAATATCTGGAAAATAAGAGAATCCCAAAAAAACCCAATTTTTTCCGAAAGGTAAAAAAACATTGAATCTAGAAAAGTCCCGAAGAACTCTAAGTGCTCCCGAAATGTCCGGAAAACGAAAAACGAAATGTCCCAAACGAGAATCCCGAATAGTCAAAACAAAATCCTAAAGCGAATAATCTAGAAAAGTGCCGAAAAAATCTCGAAAAGTCTCAAAAAAAAGATGTACAAAAAATCTCAAATGATGCCGAAAAATTTAACACTTTTTTAATTAAGTATAAGAAAAGTCTAAAAATTCGACCTTTTATAACACATATATATATACCTAGAAAAAAATATCGAAAGAAAACAAGAAAATCCTAAAAGATCACAAAAGTTTCCGAAAGGTAAGCTACGTAGAATCTAGAAAAGTACGGAAAATGGAGAAAAATCTAGAAAATTCTCAAAAAATTTCGAAAAGCCGCAAAAAATTCTAAAAGTGCCAAAACAATCTCAAAAGTCGCAAATAATTTCGAAATGATCCGAAAATATACAGAGAGATCTCATAAAAATCTCAAGAGATCCCGAAAAATTTAACACATTTTTTTATTGTTCAGAATTATAAATTATATAAAAATTCTTTTTTTTATCACATACACAAATCCCGGAAGGCAACGAAAATTCCGGAACTGTAAAGAATAATCCAGAAATATCCAAAGCAAATCTTAACAAAATATCGAAAAGAAAGCCAGAGAGTCCTGGAAAGTCACAAAAATTCCAAAACTTTCCCAAAGGTAAAGCACATAAGTCCCGAAAAATTAAAAGGAAAAAAAAATGCAAAAAAGTTCGAAAAGACCCGAAGAAAGCTCAAAAAGTCGCAGACAATTTCTAAAAGTTCCGTAAAAATACCGAGGGACCTCAAAAAATCTTAGGAGATCCCGAAAAATTAAACACGTTTTAAGAATCAGAAAAAGTATAAAATTTGTATTTATATCATACATACATACATTTGTGTGCACATATCCATTTTGCGTATAAAAATGTCATTAAATCCAGCGGCAAATATTTGCTTGAGATTCAAGACGGCTACCTGTAAATACTTTTATAGTTTATCTTCAGCAAGATTTACGAGCAACTAAGTAGTTCACCAAAGAATTTCGCTTTTGAAATTCCTAAGGCTGCCTCTCTTGGCTGTAATCAACCTATCTTAAATCATAGCAAGTGCACGTGCCAGCTGAACTTGTGCAGGCATTAATTACCCGTTCTTAACCCATTTCACGCTAACGAACACATATGTATGTACTCACACAAATGCATACATACATACCTTACCTACTTACGTGCAACATAACTCATTTTTGTTCTGCTTTTATTGGCACTTTCAGAAAACCTCAAGCAAATGTGAGTCCCATAAGGCAACCACAACATCAACATCTACAGCCTCACAGTCAGCTGCAGCAGCAGCAGCAACAACAACGTCAGCGCTCAAATACAGTGTCGAAAATACCGACCTTAATTGCGAACCACAGCAATGCCATTATCAGCCACAACAGCAGTTGTATTATGCCCAACAGCAGCAGCAACAACAACAACAATGCGCACAATACCAGCAATGCCAACAACAACAGCCATCACCATCATCATCATCACAGCCACAGCCACAACAACAGCAACAACCACAGCCACAGCCACAGCAACAGCAGCAGTCACAGTCACAGCAGCAATCATACGAACAACAACAGCAGCGAATTAAATTTGCACGACATCAGCACCAGCAACAACACCAATCAATATCATCCTCAACCACATATACCCATCTACCACCAACAACTGGCCATTAATCCCGCCATACTTGCGGCCCAAAGCGGCATGCATCAGGGACAGCATAACAAAATGAATTTGTGCGGCTACGATTCTTTTTTACACGCGACAATTTGCGGTGGCGGCACAACTCACTCGCCACCACCTTCAACAGCAGTGGCGGCGAATGCAACTACACTTGTGCCACAAATTGTCAACTACAATAATCAACAGCCCACACAACAACAACAACAACAACAACAACTAATCGCAACGGTACAACCCATAATGACAGCAGTTCCTAGCAGCAACGTCACACCTGCAAAGGTTTTCCTCAACTCCACGACACATCAAATTAAGACTAGCAAAATTTTGCGCAGCGGTTGTTACTCCCAACAGCAGGCGCAGCAAAGCCTCACGGCGCACAACTCACCACAATACCATGGCTATCAGCGGCTCTCCTCTGCGAGCGCACATTACGGCCAGCATCACCACCATAGCCAACAGCAGCTACACCAGCAGTGCGCCAACAAGCTGGCCGCTTTGAATATCACCACCAGCGCAGGCGCACAATTGGAGCGCACGCCAACCGGTGACCACATCGAAAAGTGGCTGAAGAATAGTGGCGGCAAGCATCAGCAGCGCAAGGAACCAAACGTGGTGAAGAACGCGGATAACTCTTTGTATGCCAAATTGAGTGAGAAACTGCAAGATAGTGTATTGAATAAGCAACAACCACAACAACAACACCACAGTCAACGCGAAAATGCGCAACGTCGCAAACACAAGTCGGCGCATAAGACGCGCGTGCTGCCTGCCGCGCTCGCGGGAAATGTGGCAACAACACAGAAGACTGCCGTTGGCATACACTCAAGCAGCTCTAATGGTAGCATAGGCAATTATGCTGCGCTCATACCGATAAATGGTGATCCGACCGAATGCGAGAATCTCATTGCGCCGACCACAACCGACGATGAGGCGTTAAGTGAAGCGCCAGCTGCGGTAGCGAAGTTATTCGCAGCGTGCAACGCAGACGATACGCAGGTGAAGGAAAAAGCAACGGCGAATTCGAGTACAGTCACAACAGGTGGTGCTGACGAAACGAGTAAAGAAAGTGAGCGCAATGTGGCTACTGCCAAATTGGTGGATTTGAGTGATGACTCGGAGTTGGTAGCCGTTGGGGCTGACGCGCAAGCGGTGTCACTACGAGTAAGTGATGCAGCTGAGGTAGATGAGGTGGAAGGCGAATTGGAGGAAGAGGAGCAAGAGGGCGCTGTGATGGAAGGAAGTGGTGGCGGTAGTGGGAGCAGCGGCGGTGCTTCATCGTTGATACACCGTTATGTGCACGAACACATACACCATCACTATCATCATTTTGAGGAAAAAGACGAATAGAAAAACAAAATAGTGCTAAAAGAGATACATAGCATATATTAGGTATGGATATGAATACTAGTATGAGATTATGTTAATTGAGTGAACCGGTGGTACGAGTAGTTTAAGGAATAGGAGTAGTTATAATAAGAAGAAGCAGTGTTTAAGTGTTGTTTAGCTGTAGTACAAGTAGTCATTAAGTTTTCTTTAGCCAATTTCCCCAGCAGCTTTGTTTTGCGAATAAAAGCTTAAACGCCTGAATGTATGCTATAAATGTTATGCTAATGCTATTATTGAAGCAAGGGAGCCAGAGATCTAAAAGCGAAGAAAATAAAGGGGAGTGAGCTCAGAATTGTATGGAAATATAAAATTAATTTAAAATTAAATATACTACAGTAGTATAAAATAAACTAAAATAAAATAAAATAAAATAAAATAAAATAAAATAAAATAAAATAAAATAAAATAAAATAAAATAAAATAAAATAAAATAAAATAAAATAAAATAAAATAAAATAAAATAAAATAAAATAAAATAAAATAAAATAAAATAACATAAAATAAAATAAAATAAAAT